GCAGCCACTGCACTCCAGCCTGGGCGACAGAGTGAGCCTCTAACTCAAAAAAAAAAATAGTTTTTTGAGTCAGGGTCTCTCTCTGTCGCCCAGGCTGGAGTGCAGTGGCACCATCACAGCCTACTGTACCCTCCATCTCCTGAGCTCAGGTCATCCTTCTGCCTCAGCCTCCTGAGTAGCTGGCACCAAAGCAAAGACCCGTTTCACCACATCTGGCTAATTTTTAAAATTTTGTGTAGAGATGAGATCTCACTAGTTGCTCAGGCTGGTGTCGAACTTCTGAGCTCAAACCATCCTGTCTGGGCTTCCCACAGTGTTGGAATGACAGGTATGAGCTGCCACACCCGGCCAGATTGGCTATTATTGTGCCAGCAGCATCACAAGACATGATCACATTGAATTTAATTTTTGCAGCAGCCCTGTGAGATGGGCCTTATTATTCCCACTTTGCAGATGAAAACACTGAGGCTCAGACTGACAATGAGTTGCCCCCGGCGGCATGGCTCGTGGCAGAGCTGGATTTTATTCATGCACTATCTGTCTCAGGCACTGGACTCTTACCCGGCAGGCCAGCCCGCTCTGGAAGAGGAAAGCACTTTCCCCAAATCTCAGGGTGAAAGGCCCCTCTTATATATCTGTTCTGCTTGTCCCTGGCCCAGGGCTCTCCAGCGACGTGATAGAAAAGGCCCGCAACTTCAAGATCATCACGGAGGTGCAGCAAAACGGGCAGGACTTCATCTGGTCCCAGCACTACGCCGGGGGCCACACCATGACCAACAAGTTCACCATTGGCAAGGAGAGTGACATACAGACCTTGGGGGGCAAGAAGTTCAAGGTGAGAGGCCGAGATTGATACCCCCCCTTGCCCCGCCCCCACCGCACCACTAGCCAAGGGCTGTCTCCATCTAACATAGCCTCCCTGCCCCAGCCCAGGCATCCTTCTCTAGTTTTTAGCCTCCAGCACTAAGAGCTGGAGTTGAAGGCCTGCTGTCCAGCATCTGACATCAGTACCTGCACTTGTCTGCCCCTTTGTAATGACGAGGAGCAGACCACCACCCGATCACTTTAATGATCTTCCCCCATCAAGGGGAATGGTTAAAAGGACTCAACCACAAGCACCCAGCAGCCATTGCCTTGCTAGACTCTGGTGTGGCCATGTGCTCTTAGAGCTGTGGCTGTCGCCATGCTTCCTGGCTTGGCACCCTCCACCACCTTGGGGAGGTAAATCTTCTCTCTCCTTTCTCTTTCTCTAATTTACTTTTAAATAACTTTTCTTTCTTTTTTTTTCTTTTTTTTTTTTGAGTTGGAGTCTCACTCTGTCGCACAGACTGGAGTACAGTGGCTGCTCCCGGCCCCCGCCGCCCCG